CAGTAGAATGCATTCAATTACCACAGACAACAATACTGAATGATCCCTCAGTTTATAAAAACAAAAATCACATTCACAGCAACGCGATTGTTATATTACATTTGGTAGATGCAACTTTTGTAGAGGAACGTGTGATGGAAGTGAATGGAGCAAGGCATTAAAGGGTCATGAAACCCCAGACTACTTTTTCTGAGATTTTAGCAGAGGTGTTTGTGTTGCACATCATAGAAGACAATGTTAGCATCCAATAGTTTTAACTGTTGGAGAAAACTGGTTAATTTTAAGCTTTTTTGCGCTATTTTCATCTTCCGGGTTTAAAATCTACATTGTGTTGACATCACAATTTGTGACGTGGCGTGTTGATTTGCTATGACAGACGTTTCAGAGTCTGTGAGATGACATTGAGCACATTAACTGAGAGAAACATTCATGGATCGAAGAAGAGTGTTTGTTTTTGCTTGTAATAAGAGTTCGGCACAAACGCGATTTATTCACTTGGTGAGCATAACCGTTTTTACAGCTCTGTGACACAACCTGTCAAAAGGCTTATATAAATGCCACAGAATAAGCCTTATAAGTTCTCAGCGGTGCAACAGCGCATCCATATATATGTTTTCGATACAGAGTGCAAATGGCTGTGCATTTATTTGTGTTTGTAACTCGATGGGAGCAAAATGAAACTGTCAGAATGCTAAGCTGTGTGTGTGTTGTCTGTCTCCCCCATAGACATGGACGTAGTGTCCGTGACGTCACTCGTAGGTTTCAGAAGAGCATTTCTGAAGCCTAAAGTGTCACTCCCGGATAATCGAAAATGGGCAAAAAGGCGGGACGTGGGTGAAGCTAGTTGCTGAAACTACGCCCGTCTATGGTGACAGCAGTGCTGCCGTGCAAAGACAAAACACCATAACTTCGTTTTTGGTCGAAATGAGTTATTGATAATTTTGGGACATATATGACCTGCTTTATCATGTGTATAATATCTTGGAGAAAAGCCCAGGAGAAACCAAGGCAGAACACAGTATCATCTGTTACCGCTCTTTGACTTTGTTTTAGATCGCTCAAATTAAGTTACGGTGCTCTGCATTTGTTTAGCCGTTCGTCAATATTACTGTGCCAGCCTGGAGTTGTACGGTATTCTACCTTTGTTTTAATGTCCATTAAAGTCTGCCGTGTTTAAATTACGGTGTGACTTGTGTACTTTCATACATCAGTCGGCACTTCTTTAGACAAACAAATTAGACAGATCGCGATCTAACAAACTGCTCCATCTCACAAAGCACTGTAAACAAGCAACGACTAGATAACTTGGCAACAATAATTAATCGTAAGTAATCTTTAAAGTTTTTTTTTCTTTTTATAATGCAGATGCCAGCTCTCAGTCTAGGGCTGCCCACTTCTGCACGTGTGAGGAGGCGAATGCCATGACAGCGTATCACATAAAAATCAGTTACTGTTCGCAATTAAATCCGTTTCCTACCTTTTCTTGTAACTTGATAAAAAACTTTGCAATGAACGTCATCAGATATGTTTAATTCACAATCATTCTGAGCATTATTCCTGCTGGCTTTCACATCAATCCACAAGTCTTTCTTAGGTTAAGCTATTTTCATTCAGTTAGATGTAAAAACAATAGGCTAAGTATGTCTTGCATCCTTTAATGCTAGCGAACATTGCAATAAATTGGTTGCAAATGGTATCCACTCACTTTTAACTTTTTGTCTGGTTGTTACGGTCAGAATTTTTTTTTAAATTACATTACTATATGATATAGCCTAGCCAATGATCACTAGATTTTATACAGATGTTACTATAATGATTCTGTAAATGGTGATCAGCACCCAAATATTGTATATAATGTGGAAGCTACTGCATTTTGCCTTAGCGTGACATCTCACTTTTTGCAGACAGTGCAAAGGCAGAGTACCTACAATAACTTCAAAATAGCGGTAAAAATAAATTTTGAGATCATTTTAATTAAAACATCTAACTGCCAGATTCCCAGTGTCCTACCCATAATTATTTTTTTTGGACAAATACAAATCTTTAAAGCCATTTTTTTAAGTTTCACAGTCTAGCGAGTTTCACACTCTGGAGCAGAGCGACAGTCCATCTGTCACTCAAGTGGTGGCCAATTAATTATTAATTATGCAAAACTTTAAAGCTTAATATAATTTAAATGGATGAGTTATAAAAAAAATGTATAACTCAGAAGGATCCCCCCCCCCCACAGTTGTCATGAAGGGCCAAATTACCTATATAGACCAAAAGCACTTTTTGTACCAGGCTGTAAAAAAAAATTCTGCTGTAAAGTTCCCCTGCGTCGAGATTCGCTTTGGGAACGCCCCTGCGTGACCGCGTTCTGAAGCACGTGTAAAATCAGTCCAATGGAGCAGCGAGACGTCATGAGCGGGGTGACGTGAGTGCCAGGAAGTATAAAAGCGCGTCGGGCAGAGCGCAAGTTAGCTTCTGCTCTTCAGTAGCGCTCTGTGTATGTGTCAGTCTATTTACTGTTGTCTGTCAGTCCACAAGCATTCAAAAGAATATGTCAAAGTCTAAACTAATATCTATGGCGAGCAAACGGCATTACAGACGTTGTGTGCCTCCCTGCCCACACTATCTAGCAGCGGGGGATACACACGATCTGTGTGTTGTTTGTTTAGGAGCGGAGCATGCACGGTCAGCTTTCGAGGAGCTGATTGTCATGTATGCTCCGCTGTATGCTCCGCTCTCGCATGGCTGTGTTTGATGAGAGCGGCCAGGCTCGCGATCCCGCTGGCAGCGGTCCCGCTGTTGCCGAGGCACGGCGTAGACTGTTGTCGTGGGGATCGCAGGTGGATTTAGCGGAGGGATCTGAGACGGGCTCGTCCTTTTCTCGGTCCTTACCCGTTAGATCCGTGGTTCTCTCTCAGTGTTCGGAAGCCCGCGCTGCGGTTTCTTCACCCCCCCCCCCCAGAGAGAGAGAGCCAGACGCTTCATCTATCTTCCTCCGAGGAGGTGGATGTGATGAGTGTCGAGACAGAGGAGACTGTGGACTCGCCACCGCAGTCCCTCGCGTATGAGGTGTGATTCGGGCAGTAGCCAAAATAAAATATCGTTTGGCCAGCCGAGAAACAGGACGCTCGTCCTAAAATTAATTATGGGGTGTGATTCGTGCAGTCGCCAAAATAAAATATTGTTTGGCCAGCCGAGAAACAGGACGTTTTCTGAATCCAGATCACAGCCTTCACGACGGGGCCTTCTGTTTTTCCCCTATCTCCATGCTGAGGTGTCAAGATCGTGGGAGAAACCGTACTCATCCCGTATTTACAGCCCCACAGTCTCAAATTATTCAAAAGAACATCATGGGGCTGAATGATAAGGGATATGGGGCGATGCCAGTGGTGGAGCAGATGCTTGCGAGCTATCTCTCCCCATCCTCAGCATCGTCCCTGAAGGCCCCGAAGCTTTCCACCAGGCCCGTTAGGCTAAATACATCGAGTCTGGTTGGGAAAGCTTATACGGCGGAAGGTCAGGCTGGCGCATGTTTGCACACCATGGCGGTGTTACAAGCATACCAGGCTGACCTGCTCAGGGGTGGGGCTGCTGAGCGGGAGCAGCCCAAGCCGTCAAGCTCCTCATATCGCCAGTCTCAAAAACAGAGCATTGCAACCCGCACCCCTCCACAGAAAGATTGGGGGTCGGGGCGACGCTCTCAAGTCGGGGGCTTCTAGACCGAAAACGGATCTGCGGACCGTTACAAGAAGTAGATACTCTCTTGAGGAAGGGGGCCATAGAACGTGTTCCTCCTCGTGTCTGGGTTTTACAGTTGTTACTTCATCGTTCCGTCTTCTGAACCGCGCTATCAAACGGCTTCGGTTCAAGATGCTCACTATCAAGCAGATAATATCTCAAATACAGTCCGAGGTTTGCTTTCGGGGGCGAAGCATACCAAAATCGAGTTCTTCCCTTTGGACTGTCACTCTCACCCCACACTTTCAAGTGTGTGGATGCAGCTCTGGCTCCTTTGCGACTCCAGGGCATCCGCATACTCAATTACATCGATGATTGGTTGATACTAGCTCGATCGGAGTAGTTGGCGGCTCGTAATCGAGATGTCGTCCTCGCCCATATAAGAGAGCTGGAGTTAAGATTAAACGCCAAGAAGAGTGTTCTTTCTCCACTACAGAGAACCACTTATTTAGGCGTGGTGTGGGACTCAACCT